AGAGTAGGGTGCCTCCAGGCACCTGTCAGCAGAGCTAAAGAGTTTTAACACTTGCCCAAGCAGTGCAGAGGCCAAGAGGAGGCTAGTACGGCTAAGAGAAGGGCCCGCTAGCCCAGCCAAGAGGCTAGTCTGGCCAATAAGCACAGCCTGCCTGCAGGCACAGCCCAGAAGAAGCTGAGAGCTGTCCTGGTTGGAAGCTGTCCTGATTGACTAACTGTATCCTGTATTCTGTTACTTCCAAGTTGATCCCAATCCTGTTACTTTCCTAATAAACCACATAATCAAACAACTGAGACCAAAACAAATTTAATTGGTGGGAAAAGTACAATACTGGTTAGAGGAATAAACTTACAGTCAGAAAGTTGTAAAATCATTGCAAACTGGATATTATTAATTTTAAACAGTAGAAAAAGAATAATATTCTTTTTGGATATTGTCATGGATTGAATTGTGTCCCCCCAAAATATCTGTCAGCTTAGCTAGGTCATGATTCCCAGAATTGTATGATTGTTTACCATTCTGTCATCTGATGTGATTTCCCTATGTGTTGTAAATCCTATCACTATGATGTAATGAGATGAATTAATGGCAGTAATATTGTTGAGATCTACAAGATTAGATACTGTCTTAAGCCAATCTCTTTAGAAATATAAAAGAGAGAAGTGAGCGGAGAGATAGGGGGACCTCATACCACCAAGAAAGCAGTGCTGGGAGCAGAACACATCCTGTGGACCTGAGGTTCCTGTGCTGACATGCAACCAGACCAAGGGAAGACTGATGACAAGAACCTTCTTCCAGAGCCAATATAGAGAGATATAGCCTTTCCCTGGAGCTGACGCCCTGAATTTGGACTTGTAGCCTACTAGACTGTGAGAGAATAAATTTCTCTTTGTTAAAGCCAACCTCTTGTGGTATTTCTCATAGCAGCACTAGATGACCAGCACAGATATCAAGGAGTATGGGGGGTGGGCTAAATGGGAATTCTGGAAGGCAGAATAAAAATGTTGTTTGTGTTGTGTGTGCCCAAAAAAAAAAAAACCTGTTGCCATCAATTCCGACTCATAGTGACCCTATAGGACAGAGTAGAACTGCCGTATAGGGTTTCCAAGGAGCAGCTGGTTGATTCAAACTGCCAACCTTTTGGTTAGCAGCCGAGCTCTTAACCACTGCACCACCAGGGCTCCACCATTCTTTGTAGGGACATATATTGCCTTTTCTCTTGAGTAAAATACCTATGAGTGGAATGGTTGGATCATATGGTAGGTATATGTCTAATATTTTAATAAATTGCCAGATTATTTTCGAAGTTAGTTGTACGACTTTGTAATCCCACCAGCAGTGTATGAAAGTTCCAGTTCCTCCATATCCTTGCCAGCACTTGGTATGGTCAGTCTTCTAACTTTTTGTAATTCTAATAGGTGTGTATGGGTATGTCATTGTGATTTAATTTACATTTTCCTAATCACAAATGATGCTAAACATATTTTCATGTGCTCATTTTCCATTTGTATATGTTTTTTGATGAAGTGTCTTTTCAAGTATTTAGCTAATATTTTTAAATTTAAGTTGTTTTCTTATTGTTGAGTTTTGAGGATCTACATATATATATTCTGGATACAAGCCCTTTATCAGACATATGCTTTGCAAATATTTTCTCCCAGCCTGTGGCTCTCTTTTCATTCCCTTAGCAGTGTCTTTTAAAGAACAGAAGTTTTTAATTTTGATGAGATCCAGTTTATAAATGTGTTCTTTTATGGATTATGTTTTTGGTGTTGTATCTCAGATATCTTTGCTTAATCTAAGGCCACAATGATTTTTCTATTTTTTTCTTTTAGAAGTTTTATAGTTCTATATTCTGCATTTAGATCTAAGATCTAGTTTTAGTTAATTTTTGTATATGGTATGAGGTAAAGATCAAAAAATCGACTGTGTAGATCGTAACAAATTATGGATAACATTGAGAAGAATGGGAATTCCAGAATACTTAATTGTACTCGTGAGGAACATGTACATAAATAGGCAGTAGTTCGAACAGAACAAGGGGATACTGTGTGGTTTAGTCAGGAAAGGTGCACATCAGGGTTGTATCCTTTCACCATCCTTATTCAATCTGTATGCTGAGCAAATAATCTGAGAAGCTGGACTATATGGAGAAGAATGGGGCATCAGGAATGGAGGAAGACTCATTAACAACCGGTGTTATGCAGATGACACAATCTTGCTTGCTGAAAATGAAGAGGACTTGAAGCATTTAATGATGAAGATTAAAGACTACAGCCTTCAATATGGATTGCACTTCAACGTAAAGAAAACAAAAATCCTTACAACTGGACCAACAAGCAACATCATGATAAAGAGAGAAAAGATTGAAGTTGTCAAGGATTTCATTTTACTTGAATCCACAATCAATACCCATGGAAGCAGCCGTCAAGAAATCAAAAGACGCGTTGCACTGGGTAAATCTGCTGCAAAAGACCTCTTTAAAGTGTTAAAAATCAAAGATGTCTCCTTGAAGACTAAGGTGCACCTGACCCAAGCCCTGGTGTCTTCAATTGCCTCATATGCATGCAAAAGCTGTACAATGAATAAGGAAGACCAAAGAATTGACGCCTTTGAGTTACGGTGTTGACGAAGAATATTGAATGTATCATGGACTGACAAAAGGATGAACAAATCCATCTTGGAAGAAGTACAGGCAGAATGCTCCTTAGAAGCTAGGATGGCGAGAGACTACGGTTCACATATTTTGAGTATGTTATCAGGAGGGACCAGTCCCTGGAGAAGGACATCATGCTTGGTAAAGTAGAGGATCAGTGAACAAAAGGAAGACCCTCAATGTGATGGACTGACACAGTGGCTGCAACAATGGGCTCAAACATCATGATTGTGAGGATGGTGCAGGACTGGGCAGTGTTTCATTCTGTTGTACATAGGGTGGCTATGAGTTAGAACCGACGTGACGACACCTAACAAAGATCAAAGGTCACTTTTTTGCATATGGGCATTCAGTGGTTTCAGCACTATTTGGTGAAAAGGCTATCCTTTCTCCACTGCACTGCCTTTTGTGCTGATCAAAAATCAGTTATCCACTGAATTGTACATGTAGAATTTGTTAAAATGGTGTATCCATTGTTGTGTATGTTTTCACCAAAAAATACAGTAAGTACAATTGTCAGTTGTCCATATATGTATTAGTTTATTTCTAGACTCTATATTCTGTTCTATTGATGTATTTGTCTATATTTATGCCAAATATATGTGCTCTGACTCATGGTGACCTTATGTATAACAGAATGAAATGATGCCCGGTCCTGTGCTATGATCATTGGTGTCTTAGTTAACTAGTGATGCTATAACAGAAATACCAAAAGCGGATGGCTTTAACAAAGAGAAATTTATTCTCTCACGGTCTAGGAGGCTAGAAGTCTGAATTCAAGGTGCCAGCTCCAGGAGAGGCTTTCTCTCTTTGTCAGCTCTTGCGGAAGGTCCTTGTCATCAGTCTCCCCCTGGTCAAGGGGCTTCTCAGTGCAAGGACCCCAAGGACCCACGCTATTCTTCTAGCAGTTGTTTCTTGGTGGTATGAGGTCCCCGTCTCTCTGCTTGCTTCTCTCTTTTATACTTCAAAAGAGATTGGCTCAAGACACAATCCAATCTTGTAGATTGAATCCTGTCTCACTAACTGCCACTAATCCCATCTCATCAACATCATACAGATAGGATTTACAACACACAGGAAAATCATATCAGATGACAAAATAGTGGACAATCACACAATACTGGGAATCATGGCCTAGCCAAATTGATAAACATATTTTTGGGGGACACAATTCAATCCATGACAGTTGGTATATTTGAATCCATTACTGTAGTTATTGTGTCAATCCAACTCATTGAGGGTTTCCCTAGTTTTTGCTGACCCTCTACCAATGTTTGCAGAGATCCTGAGGTGGGAACAACCTCAAAATATTCACGGAACCAGAACAGGGCCAGTGTAAGCAGAGCAAAGTGAGCACCTTGAACAACATTGTGACCAGAGCTTGGAGACGCAGGTGGGGGACAGACATAGAGGTCTTACGGGCCATGGTGAGAAGTTATTCTGTAACTGTGATAAGTCTTTGAAGGGCCATAAGACTCAGGAGAGAAACATGATACTATTTGTTTTTAAAAGTTCACTGTGGCTCCTGTGGATATAGAGGACTGTAGGCACAAAGGGTGGACATGGAGAGACCAGTAAGAGGCTATTGCAGTGGCCCGGTAGAAAAGATGTCAGCTTGGCCCTGGAGGAAGAAGGCAATGAAGGTAAGGATAATTGAGCTGATGGAAGATGTGTTTGCAGTTAGAATTCCCAGGACAAGTGGATAGACTGCTTTTGAGTGGTGATCTTGTGCCGCTGTATCCTGGTGGATATTTATGGAAGTCATGTGAAAGGATCGAGGATCAACCTCTACCTGGAACAAAAATTTTATTCAGAAAGTTGGGAAAATTGAGTACTGGATCTCAGGAGCTCTTTGTTTTGTTTTGAATTCACATCAACTGAATCCTGGTCTTGAACATGTATGGACAGGGGCGTTTTTCATCTAGCTTTTCAAGTCTTTTAACGTGGAAACGTACAAACCCTTTAATATTCTTATGTTCTCTATGATTATTTCCATTTCATTCCCAATGTCACAAATTGTGTTGTTTTTCTTGACCATGTTAGTTTGTAATCTATGTAATGAATGTGGCAAAGCCTATCCAGTTTTTCTCAGTCACCTTTTACCAGTACTTCTTGCTTTTATATTTACTACATCCTTCCTCCTACTTTTAAGGAACCCTGGTGGCACAATGGTTAAATGCTCAGCTGCTAACCAATAGGTCTACAGTTTGAATCCACTGGCAACTCCAGAGAAGAAAGATGTGGCAGTCTACTCTTGTAAAGATTACAGCCTTGGAAACTCTATGGGGCAGTTCTACTCTGTCCTATAGGTTCACTGTGAGTTGGAATAGATTCGACAGCAATGGATTTCCTTCTACTTTTATTAGGAATAACTTATAACAGTGTTGACTGCTAAATTTATTTCTATTTGTTATTATTGTTCCTTTGCTACCTCAAAGCACCTCCAACACACTTCCCCCTGACAGTTCAGACGTTTGATCAACTTCTTTCTTTTCTGTTTTTTATTTATTGTAAAATTTAGTAATTTTAAAAGAAATGATAAAAAAAGAAAGTCACGATATATCTAAGACTCTTAGCTGCGTTCATTTCTGTGTTTCCTTCTAGCCCTTGTCCAAATGCACACATATGGTAACCGTTGAACAGGTTCTGTACATTTCACTGCACATTATATGCATTTTTCATGTTTTCACACATTGTTCATAATTAGGGTTTATAGTGACTTCCTGAAATAAATTAGAAGAGGCCTAATTTTCCAGTAATGGCATAACAATTAAATAAATAATGACACTCCAGCTCTTTGGAATAGTACATTCAGTTGTTTAATCAAATGTCATCCGCCTGTTATAACTTCTCATCACCAGCTCTTCCCACACTGCTTGACAGAATAGTATTATCAAAGGGAATTGACCTTACTGATCATCACATACTGGAAACTTCCCTAGGAATCAAATACCACCCAGACTCTTCTCTGGGAATAGGTCAAAAAGACAAAATCTAAATGTATCTATGATGCTTTTATACATGAAAATGAAATGTGTAGGTTTTTTCCTTTGGTATGAGTTCTTTGATGCCCAATAAAGATAGAACCTTGATTGAAAGCTTTCCCACACTGATGACATTTATATGGTTTCTCTCCAGTGTGAGTTCTTTTATGCTGAGTGAAGGATAAGTGAAAGCTGTAAGTTTTCCCACATTCATCACATTTATAGGGTTTCTCACCAGTATGGATTCTCCTGTGAACTGTAAGGTGAGAGCTGTGGCTGAAGGCTTTTCCACATTCATTGCATTTGTAAGTTTTCTCTCCAGTGTGTGTCCTTTCATGTTGCATATATGATGAGCGGTCACTAAAGGCTTTCCCACATTCATTACATTTGTAGGGTTTTTCTCCAGTATGTGTTCTCTTATGCACATTAAGATTAGATCTTCCACTGCAGGATTTTCCACATTCATCACATTTATAGGGTTTCTCTTCAGTATGAGTTCTCTGATGTACATTAAGGTGAAAATTCTGACTAAAGGATTTTCCACATTTATTACATTTATAAGGTTTCTCACCGGTGTGAGCTGTCTGGTGCAAAATGAGGTGAAGGCTCTGCCAGAAAGATTTCCCACATTCATTATTACATTCATAGGCTTTCTCTTTATTGTGATTTCTCAGATGGTGAGAAAGAGATGCAATCTTCTTAAAGGCTTTGCCACATTCATTACATTCATAGGGTTTCTCTCCAATATGAGTTCTCATGACCGGAGAGACATATGCGCTACAGGGAAAAAAAGTCTCACTTACTTTATATTCATAGAATTTCTCTCCTGTATCAATTAACTCATGTGTAGAAATATGTATGCTCTGGTTGGTATATTCACCATGATTAAATTTATACAGTATTTCCAAGGCCTTTCCACATACATTGCCTTTACAAGGTTTCTTTTCTACAATGATTTCCTGATGGTTTTTTAAAACAAAGTTATGTTGCAGGCTTTGAATCCCTGAGTCAAGTTCATGAAAATGTTTTTCTGTAGGAAATCTCTGTGAACAAAGTCTGAGCTGACACTGCATTTTCCCACTTCAGGGTATTCCAAGTCCCTGTCCTGGGTAACTGCTTGCCCTTGCTCATATTCCATTGACCCTATACAGCCCTCTCTCATGTATCTTCTGCTTTTCTGATTCAGCCTCAGATTCCCAATCATCTCCTATGGTGGAACGCCAAGAATCACCCATTGTGGGTCTTGTTGTGTTCATGCCACTGGGTAATTCCTCACTAGAAATGGGCTCTGTTGACAGTAACTCTTGGCTTTTAGTCTGTTTTTCCACTCTGGAAGGAAATGAAGACGGGTTTGGGTGCTTGGAAAAAGAAACTCCTAAAGTGGGAATGATGAGATATAAGCAACAGGTAGGTATTTTTAAATATCAACTAAGGGAAGAGATGCAAATGTGAGAGAGAATGGAAGCCAAAAACGACACACAGAACGCAAGGAGCCCACAAGAAAACTGATCAACAGCGTGATCAGCTGAACAGGCAGAGGGGCACAGTCAGGGGAAAGAGCATGGAGTAGGTGGACATTCCAAAAATTAAAGTCAGGACAGTCACCTTTCTTTCATGCTTGGATGTCGCAGACAGAATTCTGTCTCCCTGATTAATGTGTACACTTCCTGAAGCTGATACCAAATTCATCCTCCTAACAGATCAGTCTCACGATGCCAAGAGGTTTGGTTCTAGCCCCCTGGACCCTCACAGTCAGAGTCAAACCACCACAGCTACCCCTGTCATCTTCTGTATTTATTTAGTCCTCGCTGTACATGACTATTTGCACCATGAATACACAGTTCTTCCTCTGTTTAAGGACTTTCCTTTGATCCCCAAGGTTTCAGGTGTCAGCCAGATTGACCCTTCCCCTTCTCATCATTGAGGTCTCAGTTCTCAGGTTACCTCCTCTGAGAGACCCTCCCTGACCTTCCAGCCACATTGGGCTCCTCCTCACATGCCATCTCACTGTCTGTTTTTATTTACGTTATAACACGTCACTATTTAACATCACCTTGTTCATTTTTTTCCTTCTTTATTGTCTTCCCCTCCCCCCCCCCCACACACACACACACTAGGCTGTGAGCTCCATAGGGATGAGGTGTCAGTCCTGTTCATACTGCATCCCCCAGTGCCGAGCACAGTGCCTGGTATACCGTGAGATCTCAGGAAACATCAGTGGGGTGGGCAGATGGGGTATTTGAATATGCTTACCAGCAGCCTGACTCCATCAGGTGGGAGGGCTGTGATTCTGCCCCTTCCTGGGCCTACTGCCACGGGGTTAACTGTGAGGAAGAGCTCACAGGGAGAAGGACTTCACAACATCAGATGGTCAAGCACCTGTCCCCCTCTGTTGGAGGACTGGTCATGGGGTGGAGAGCATTAAGGAATCAGATTAATAAATTCAGAGGAACAGCAAATCAGCCTGACTTTGTGGGCAGAGGAGCAGAACCATGAGGGGAGATGGAAAGAGTTGGGGGTTCCCCAGGAGCACAGTCTTGAGCCATGTGGGTCAGGGTCCAACCCAGCCTGCCCGGCAGTATCTGCACCGGTTACCTTGGCAACAGCATTGCTTTCTGACATCAGATGGAGTAGGCAGCATTTAGCAGGGAATGTCTGTGTTCAAGGTCGGTCCTCAGGGACGGGAGTATAGGTACTGGGAAGGAGTCCAGATGGGCTTTTTGCCTCAGATAGGGATAAGGGTTCAAAGGGGTGGGGGCGTAATTAGAGTCCTGTGTAAAAGGCTGACTAAGAACCTGCCTGCTGAGGACCTGAATCAAAGATTTCAAGCCAGAAATCACTAAGTTTGGCCATGTTCTCCAACCTTGGCTTAGCCCAAAAATTATCCAGAGGTTTCTTTAAAATACAGATCCTTGGCCCTAGCCCAAGCAAACCAAACCCACTGCTATCAAGTCAATTCCAATTCATAGTGACACTGTAGGACAGAGTAGAACTGCCCCACAGGGCTTCCAAAGCTGTAACTCTTTACAGAAACAGACTGTCACATCTTTCTCCCATGGAGCAGCTGGTGGGTTCAAACCACCGACCTTTCAGTTAGCAGCTGGGCGCTTTAACCACTGCACCACCAGGGCTCCTTTGGACCCCAGCCCAGATCCCCTAAACTCCATTCTACAGGGCGGGCCCAGAAACCTGGATTGTCAATAAGCACTCGTGGGGTTCTGATGATCTTGGAGCAGATGTCTGGTTTTTGCATGGTTTCACTACTGGGGCCTGACACGGTTTATACAACATGGGAAAAGATGCCAGCTGGCCTGGGGACCGTTAAAGGTCCACCTTGGGCAGGGACCAAGTAAGTCTGCCAGGGATCAAACCCACTTCTCTCATGATGCCATCATCATCACAACTACAAGTCCTTAAGACTCCCCAAGGGCCTGTGCTGATTTTTCAATTCTCAATGCCTTCTAAATATATTACAAAAAAATTGTAGGCTCTGCTATGTTTTTAACACCTCTTTCACTTGCCAGTTTCTCTTCTGAACAGAGATCTCAGCCTCAGACTCAGGACCTCTGACTGGCCAGCATATCTAATAGAATGTTATAACATCATTTTATTTCTTACCAAATTTATTTTTAAAGAGTTCTCTTATTTCAGACAAACCTTGTCACAGAGTAAGCCTGGTTTTCCCATTTAGGGGAGAAGTATAAAGGTATCTCTTCAAAAAAAAACCAGAATGATTAAAAGAAAAATATTAAAAGAGTATGACAGATGGTGAAGGTGGATGTGTAAGGCCCACAGGCTGGGAAACATTGATCTAGACATCTGTATATCCATGATAACTCAACTTGTTCCCAAACAGGATTAATAATCATGGTCAAAACTGCCCTTCTGCCCCTGCTGGGGTACAAAGTCCTTTCTCTAAGATTGGGCAATTCTGGTCTCATCGGACAGCCCCCAGGGAGGTGGGTGTCACCCTGCAGAGATGGACAAGGTGTGCTCGAAGGCACAGAGCATCACTGAGAGAATCTGGGTTGTCGCAGGTCACTAAGAGTAGAAGAGCCTTGGTGCACACTAACCCCAATACTGGCAAAAAGAAAATGCCTCATCTACATGTTGACATAGAATTCATGTTCATTTCCTCCTCTCTACAAACAAGCATAGCAGGAGAGATGTGGGCAGAGCGAGTGCAGGATCTCAGAGAACAAGGTACTTGATGATTAAAAATATGCCAAAAGGGTGAAAATCTAGAATCCTATTTGCTGGTTTCTTGATTCCTAAGAGATGGCTGTGAAGCCCTGTCACTGGGCCTTCCTAATGGTTCTATTCCTATCTTTTATCAATTTCACAAAGCATGTTCTTTAAAAAAAAATAAAAAGAGAACACTGGTTAAGATAACCCTTGAGCCATTAGGAGCTCAGGTTGCATAGTCAAGATTGCTTGGGCTGAAATCCTGGCTCCATAGCCTCTACTGAGTGACTGAGGGTAGGTCCCTTACCAGGAAGGTGAGTCTCACCCTGCACAGACAGACAAGGTATGCTCAAAGGCACAGAGCATCACTAAGAGAATCTGTGCCTCAGTATCCCCATTGTAACAGGAGGTGATGATAGGACCTGCCCACAGACTGCTTGTGAGGATAAGACTTTAAGGGCTGGCAAACTCCAGTATGTAAGCCACACCTGCAGGCACTGGAAACTCTTCCTCCCTCCCAGAGTGACCAGGTGCAACTAGTGGCTGTCCCCTGTGAAAAAGAGACCTCTCTTCACAGCACTACCTGCACAACAAAACCTCCATCCTTTTCCTCCCTGTGGGGCGTAAAAGGATGCTCTGTGGTGAAGGAAAGTCTAGAATGATCTCAAACTCCAGTCACAAAAGGCTCCTCTGATCCACTACTCAATTTCCCCAACTTTCTGAGTAAAATTTCCATTCTAGGGAGAAGGGCCCAGAAATCTACAGTTTCCTCTTGAGTTCTTAGCTGGATCCTAAACTGTAAATGCACAAGGAAAGACTCAGTAAGACCTAGCAAGGAACACCTACGAGGGGGCTGAGCAGAGATTTCAGAAGTTACTCAGTGCTGGGTAAGTGTCGGAGTTCTGAGCTAGCCAGGGCAGAGATTCCAGTGAACACCCCAGGCATTCAGCTGAGACCTCTAGAAAGCTACACTTTAGGAGGAAGGACCATGTCCCAAGAGTAAGGACTATATCCAAGAAATAAAGGCAAAACTAAAATAAACATACATTAGTAAATCTGAAAACCAAGTATCATCAGAATTGGGGTGTGTCATGGTTTCAATTAAGTCCCCCAAAAAATGTGTGTATCAATTTGGCTGGGCCATGATTCCTAGAATTGTGTGGCTGGCCTCCATTTGGTGATTGTAATTTTATGTTAAAGAAGATTAGGGTGGGACTGTAACACCACATTTACCCAGGTTACATCCCTGATCCAGTATAAAGGGAGTTTCCCTGGAGTGTGGCCTGCACCACCTTTTATCTCTCAAGAGATAAAAAGGAAGCAAGCAGAGAGTTGGGGGACCTCATACCATCAAGAAAGCAGTGCCAGGAGCAGAGTGTGTGCTTTGGACCGGGGTCCCTGCGCCAAGAAGCTCCTAGTTTTGGGGAACACTGATGAGAAGGCCAAGAGAGAGAGAAAGACTTTCCCTGGAGCTGACACCCTGAATTTGGACTTTTAGCCTACCCTACTGTAAGGAAATAAACTTCCCTTTTTTAAAACCATTCACTTGTGGTATTTCTGTTAGAGTAGCGCTAGATGACTAAGACAGGGTGATTTGTAGTAAACTGCCTGCCAGAACAAAACTCAACACACTTTGGGAGAAGATAACAATTCATAATCTCCAAAATGTATCATCTGCAATGTCCAGTATATAACCTAGAATTCTCTACCTAACTGTCCTTCCAAAATGAAAATGAAGGTCCCTGGGTGGCACAAACAGTTTGCACTCAACTACTAACCTAAAAGTTAGCGATTCAAACCCACCCAGCAGCACTGCAGAAGAAACAGGCCTGGCAATCTGCTTCTGTAAAGATTACAGCCAAGAAAACCCCATGGAGCAATTCTGCTCTGAAACACATGGAGTCTCCTAAGCCACAAATCAACATAAAAACAAAATTACCAACCAAAATGAAGATGAAATAAGACACTATTAGGCAAACAACTTCAGGGAGTTTTGTCACCAATAGGCCTACTCTGAAAGAGATAATAAAAGGAGTTCTGCAGGCAAAAGGAAAATGATCCTATATGGATTTATAGAAATGCCAGTGGGAATGAAGAGCACAGAAGGTAAATATGAAGGAACATATAAATGATTACTGACTGTAAAGACCTTGCCCGTCTCACCTGGGCAGAGGTCCCGAGGGAGTCCTAGGTCCATCATCCATGGCTCTGCTCTAAGTTCCAGCTGGACAACAACATCTGACTTGGGAATCCAAGGGTCTGCCCAAGGAGACCTAGGCTATAAGGGTTTGGGTGGGGAGAAACCCTCCCATGGGTCAGTGATACCCACCCCAGATCTTCATGGCCCTGAATGACCAGGTAAG